ATTAAAATAAAATATTATATTATATAATTAAACAAAATGAACAAAAATATAGATAAAAATTAAATTTTATATGTATTTTTTTATTTTAATTTTAAAATATAAATATATATAAATATGTAATGTATGTATAGTTAACTTGAGAGTTGAGAATTTCGCCTTTATTTTTTATTCCCATATCACATAAACACAATATGTTAGCATATTTTTTTGTTTATATAAGCTTATTGACACACATGTGAAAAAGATTCATATGGTATGATCGACCATGTGATAAACCATTGTTAATGTCTATTTAACTAAAATGCTTAGTTTTTCTTGGAATATACTCTTTGAAATCTCAATCTAGAAGCTCCCGGAATCAGTAAGTTAGAGAAAGAAGAAATTCAAATTTCAACGGTCCTTTTTTTAAGGCGGTTTGTTCTCCGCCAATGGAAGAAGACGCGGCCACTGCCGCAGGTCGCCGGAATCCTCCCGACGACAAAATTCTGATCTCCGATCATAGATATGAATCTCCCAAAATTCATAGACTTGGTATTCTTCGAATCAATGAACCAACTGATGCACGTCGGAAGTTTACTTCTATTGTTCCAGGCAAAGGAAAAGGAATAATGATTCAATCACCTGCTAAGGTTTTCAAATCTCCTGTTGATCATAAAATAAATTTAGCTACGTCGTCTTCGTCTGGACACAAATTGTTCGTGAATAAATTCAACAATTCGGTTGTCAGAAATCAATTAATAGAGGAAGGAGTCTCATTCTCTCAGAAATTAATGGAAAACACATCAAGTGCTCAATGTAATGACAATGCAAATGATATGGGCAATTCTAATCCTGTTGACGCTTGGACCAGGAAGCCTAATATCAAAGTGATTTTAAAAGGGGATGATTTTTTCTCTCAGAAGATGGTGAATCTGTCAAATTAAATGAAGAAAGCTTGAAGATGAATGCAGATAACTTACAATTATCTTTGGTGGTAAAGGTTTTTGGAGATGATGATCCTATTTATGTGATTGCTAGAGAACTATGTCGTCAATGGATTCAATTCGGGAAGGTTCATATCACTTCCCTTGGACTTGGCCGGATTCTATGCTCTTTTTTTTACAAGGAAGCAGTAGACAAAGTCTTAGAAGGAGGCCCATGGTATGTCAATGGCCACATTGTTGGAATAGATAAATGGACTCCTATGTTTTCTCCTATCTCTTTAAAAGGTTTATCTTCCCCAATTTGGGTCAGGTTCCATCATCTTCCTTTGATTTGTTGGGATGAAGATAATGTGGCTAGAATAGCTACTAAAACTGGGGTTCATTTATGGATTGACGGTAATATGTTTCAATGGAGCAAGAGAGAGTATGCCAGAGTATGTATTCGTATGTCTCTGGATAAACAATTTCCAACTGGAGTATGGATTGAAGGCTCCTTTGGACGATTCTTTCAAAATGTTGAATATGAGAAAGTATCCAATTTTTGTTTTAAGTGTGAAAAAATTGGGCATCTAGACTCTAATTGTGGAGATGAACTCACGGCATATCCTAAGAAATCAGCTAATCCTATGGATAAGGGAGCACAATCTACAATCATTCATTCTCAACATTGTTCTGTTTTAGAGAAAGCATATCGTCCTTGGATTTTAGTTCAAAATTCTAAAAGAAAGAACAAGCCTTCTTTGTATAAGGGGAAGAATTTCATCAAAGAGACTGGATTCAAGAAGACTAAAAGTGTATATGTCCAGAAATATGTATTCAAACCTCAATTAAATTATGTTATTGAAGAATCAATGAATGTTTCAGCTGTTGATTCAGGAGTTTCAGAAAAAAGTTCCTCTTGAACCTGTTACTGTTAAAAATATGGATGTAGAGAATCATAATACTTCTATTCCAGAAGGTAAAAATGAAGAAAAACTGATGGGAGATTGTTGTAAAAGTGCTACCACAACAGTTGAAATCTGTAATCTGAAGGTAACAAATATGCTTCATGTTATTCCAACCAGCTCTATTGAAAATATTAACAAATTCAATGTTTTGGACTGTCTACATCAAGAAGAAATTGATCCATTATACTTGATGGATAAAACAGGAGTTCTTGAAGAAGGTGAGATTCTTTGCTCAAATTCTCCCATTACAGATTATGTCAAAGACAAGGTGGAAGAATCTGTGAAAAACAAAGGTAAGCTTGTCAAAGAGCTTAATTCTTTGGGAAGGAACAATATTCTTTTACAAAAGAGGAAAGGTGAAGAATCTAAGAAGCTTAAAAATGTGAGTAATCCCATTTTTAAATCCAAATGACGTCTCTATCATTTTGGAATTGTAGAGGGGCTAGGAAGTTGGAGGCCTCTCGTTACCTTAAGGAATTTGTCAAAGATCTTCAATTTTTTTTTTGTTGGACTTATTGAAACTAAAGTCCAATCTTTTGATAGAGCTGAAATCAACAAACTAATTGGGAGTAATTGTGATTTCTTTAATGTTCCTGCTGAAGGCTTGTCAGGTGGAATACTCATATGCTGGAATTCTAGCATTTGCTCCTTTAGTATCAATCATTTTTTCAAATCAATTAGTTATTGGTCAAATGAAAATGCATAGTGGAAATGAATGGCTTATTGCCACAACATATGGAAGCAAAGAGGTTTATAAAAGAAGACAACTATGGGAAGACCTTCAAACATTCACTAATTCTTGCACTCCTTGCATTATTGGAGGAGATTTCAATTGTATTCTTTCTCAAGAGGAAAAGATAGGTGGGAAGAGATTTATTTTCTCTCAAGGACCTCAAGATATGCAAAGGTTTATGAAGAGTTATGATTTTCATGATGTTGGGATTATTGGCCCCAAATATACTTGGTGCAACAACAAGAAAGGTGGAGCACGCATACTTGAAAGACTGGACTGGTGTTTACTGAATTCAGCAGCCTTGAAGACCTTACAACCTGCTGCAGTTCATCATCTTGGTAGAATTGCATCAGATCATTGCCCAATAGTTATTAATATTTGTAATCCGGGATTTAAGAAGTGTAGAAGACTGCAGTTTGAAGAAGTCTGGACTTCTTACCCAGTTTCCAAAGGTATTGTGGCAAATTCATGGGCTAAACCAGCAGGAGGTGATGATGTCCAGAAGTTAAATCTCAAATTCAAAAGAGTTCTTAAAGCACTTTTTCATTGGAGTAAAGCCAAACATGCAAATCTCAACAGTTTGAAGGAAGAATTGAAGGTAGAAATTTTAGTATTGCAAGAGGAAGAAGCTAATTCAGGAGGTCTTTCAGAAGACAAGTTCTTTTTACTAAGGTATAAAATTAATGAATTTAATTCTACCTTAGGAAGACTAAGCTCTTGGTGGAGACAAAGAGCTAAGGTGAAATGGTATAAAGAGAGTGATACCAATTTTGAATATTTTAATTCAGTGGCTTCGGCAAGACGAAACAGCAATCATATTAGACAAATAAAAAGCTCTGATGGCAATCTGACTGAGGATCAAAATTGTATTGAAGAAATTATTTCAAAATTTTTAAAGAAAAAGTGGAAATTCAGAAGATGTTCACTTAATGGCTGGCCTAACTTTTCAAAATCTATTGATGAAACTGACAAGGATCGACTTGTGGCTAATTTCTCTGAAGAAGAGCTGGAAAATGTAATCTCTCATTTGGAAAGTAACATCTCATCAGGCATTGACGGTATCTCCTATTCCTTTTTTAAACACTATTGGTATATTATTAAAGTTGATGTTTGGAAGGTTGTTTCTCTGTTTTTTAAAACTGGTTTGATGTGTGATGAATGGAGAGAAACCTTAGTGGTCATCATTCCTAAATTGAAAAATCCTTTAATTCCTTCTAATTATAGACCTATTAGTCTATGCAATTCTATATATAAGATAGTGGCAAGGATGTTATTAAATAGGATTGTCTTTATTATGCCAAGGATCATTTCTGAAAATCAAGCTGCATTCATCAAAGGAAGAACTATTTCTGAAAATATTTTGCTCACCCAAGAAATTTTTCACAAATTCAAAAATTCTAAAGCTAAGAAAGGTTTAATGGCAATAAAGTTGATATGGAGCATGCTTATGATAGTATGGGGTGGATCACCTTAAAAAAGGTTTTGGATCTTTATGGTTTTCCAAAATTTTTTGCTAATCTCTTAATCCAATGCGTGGTGGACACTAAGTATTCTATTAATGTTAATGGTAGAAATACTAATTGGATTAAAGCTGAATGTAGCTTTAGACAATGTTGCCCTCTATCACCCTATTTGTTCATCATGTGCTCTCAACTTCTATCCGAAATTTTTAATAGTTATGGTGTCAAGATTGGTGTGAAGATGGCACCAAATGCAGAAAAGATTTCTCACATGCAGTATGCTGATGATACTATTTTTGCGAAAGCCAATAGAAGAAATGCTACAAAAATCAAAAAAATTCTGAAGAAGTACAGCGACTGGACTGGACAAATGGTTAATAACCAAAAATCTTCTTTGATATTTGGCAAATCGGTTAACAAGATTGATGCTAAAATTCTGACCAGATTTATGGGTTTCAAAAGAGTAAATGAACTGAATTATCTTGGCATTAAAATAGCTTTGAGAAGGCTTAAAGCTTCTGATTTTCAGAATGTTTTGGAAAAAGCTTATGACAAACTTAATGTTTGGGAAAATCTTTCTTTTACTTTGGCCGGTAAGCTTCAATTGATTAAATCAGCACTCTTATCACTTCCTATTTTCATCTCTACACATTCCCTTATGCCAATGGGAGTGTTAAAAGAACTTGATAAGTTATGTAGAAACTTTCTCTGGACAAAGAAGGATAAAAATAGTGGAATTCATTATGTGAATTGGGAAATTCTATGTAAACAAATCAAATTTAGTGGCCAAGGAGTTATGTCTTCTTATGACAAAGTTGGTTCATGGAGAGCAAAATTTGCATGGAGTTTTATTTCAAATCCTTCTTCTTTATTAAACAGAACTCTTAAAGCCAAATACGGTAATAGATTCTGTTTTTCTGAAAATAAAGTTGGTAGTTCACCAACTTGGAAAATTATAAAAAGTGGAGGTAAACTTCTTCAAATGTTATCAGGTGGAAGATCTCTAATGGAGATAATATTAACACTAATAAGAATATTTGGATCCTTGATAAGTGTTTAGAGAAATGACCAACATTTGTCTCCAACTTAAATAAAGATCAATGCTCTTTGAATTTAATTTTAAATACAGGTTGCTGGAATAACCTGAGATTGAAGGAAGCATTTGGCAAGGAATTAGCTGATTTGATATCATTGATCCCAATTAATACAAATGCTCATGAAGATGAATTGGAAATCATTTATAAATTTTATGGGAAATCTCTTGCTGCAGTAATTTCAGATCATCTAAGTTCTAATGAAGAAAAAGATGCAAACTGGAGATGGCTTAAATTACTAAAATTGAGGCCTAGAGTAAAAAAATTTTGGTGGAGATTGTTACATAAGGCAATTCCAACAAATGAGTTCCTAATGTATAGAAGGTTAATTGATTACAACGGATGCCCAAGAGGTTGCTGTGACAAGGAGGATGATAGCCACTTAGCTGTGAAGTGCTTTTTCATGTAGAATATCATCAGATCTTTAAAAAAATGGGGATATGAGTTACTTGCTTTCAATAGTTTTGAGAATTGTATTAATTGGTTCTCTACCATGTCTACTCTCAATCCTTTCTTGGCAAATTTGTATTGTTCAGCTGTTTTTTTATCATGGAAAAGTAGAAGTAAACTTGTTCATGGATCGGTGGAAGATAGCATTTCAATTATTGCTGCAAATGCTATCAGTTTTGCATCTTCTTCCTTTAGTCAATGTATCATTTCAGCCAACTGGGTTTCTAATCAGCATATGCTGTTTCAACAAACTTGGAAACCTCCTCCAGCTGAATGGATAAAACTAAATGTGGATGCTTCTCTAAACAACAATTATTCTGCAGGAGTGGGTGGAGTTATTAGAGACTACAAAGGTAGATTTTTATTTGCCTTTGGTTTCAAAAGTATTCATTGGGATATCTCGGAACTTGAGTTGGAGGCTTTGAAGGCTTTAAAAAATATTACTCAAGAGTGGATGTATCAAGCTAAAGGAATCATTATTGAATGGGACAACTATAATGTTATGAAGCACATTCAAGGTATTTTTAAGGAAGGACCAACTGTAAGTAATAATCTCGAGCTACTTGATTTTCTTTTTCTTAGAAGTTTCAATCAAGTCATCTTTCAATTTGTAAATAGAACTTCTAATAAGTTAGCCGATTGTTGTGCTAACCATGCTAGGTTGGGTGATTTTTGGTGGAATAACTTGATTATCAATAACGTTCCTCCTATGTTTTTCAAAATATTAAAGGAGGAATGTGATAATCTTATCTTTGTATAGTTCTTTTTGAAGTTTAATAATATTGCTTTATGCATCTTCTCAAAAAAAAAAAAAAAAAACTAAAATATATAAAATTTAAAATAATTTTTAAAATAAATGTTTAATAATAAATTTATTTAATTAAATAATAGCCGAATTGGTTTTTGAAAATCGGCACCGTTACATCGATTAATTGGTTGAACCTCCAGTTCAAGGCGGCTAGCAGATTGGTACACGGTTTAACCGGTTGAACTGACTAATTTACTCCAATTTTTAAAACATTGTTTGGAACTACATTTCTATAAGCATTTCTAGATATTTATTGGTAAAAACTTCAAAAAAAAAAAAAAAAAAGTTAAAACTCTTAAAAATCTTTCTATATGACTAAATGTGTCAATCTTCGGACTTTCTTCTAGATTATAAGTTGAAAATTCTTTTTTTGTGATCTCAATCCTTAATGTGCACCACAAGAAAACGATGAATTATTTTCAAAAAATTTTACCATCAATTAGTTTGACAGATTTTTCAATGAATCTTAGACACAACCTTCTAGTGAAATATTTGGCAATAATGTTTAGTTTCTGACGGTTCAGTGTAAGAAAATTTGGCAAAAACCTTGACGTTTTAGCGATATATTATATCAAGTTGAAAGCCATAGGTAACCGTCCAATGGCTCTCGTTATTGTGCTGATTTTAACCAAGCCGCATTGGTGAATCCTCCTTCCATTTCTCATCAGCCCTTTTCATGTTTACGACTCCTCGACAATGATCGCTCGCATGAGCAAAAGCCATAGAAAGATAGAAAAGCTTGTAAGTTAATACTAATTAAAAAATATTCAATAAAAATCAAATGATATGAATTAAATAAAATTAAAAATAAATCAAATTTAATTCAATTTAATTAAATAAACTAAACTAATTGAGCTTAAGTAATTAATTAAATCATTATAAATTGATTTAATAAATCTAAGGCTTCTTGCATTACTTCATCCCCTACGGGGGAAACAAATTCATTAATTTGATAATCTTGAGACTTATTAATCCAATATTTCAAGTAATTTGAAGTCTATATTTATCACTGTTGTTTTAGGGTTTAGGAGAAAACAAATGCATTAAATTCTTAAGTTTAAGGACATGTTGGTTATTAACTTAAAATCAAACTTGAAGTTATTAATCATCAATGTTTCACAAAACATATAATTAAATAACTATATAAAAATTAAAATAAATTTTATAAATAAAACTATAAAACATTGAAATTTAAATTCAAATTAAATCCCTTAATTAGGCTTGTAATAAAGTAATTTATTTATTTGTATTCTACCTTACTTTTCTAGCAAGTTACACCTGTACCAATATAGTCAATCAACTTTCTTTTGTAAAGTGTCAATATATATTGCAAAATGTTAATATAAATATATAATGTGCAAATTTAAAATGAAAAGTGACAATGTAAATGTAAATTGTAGCGATAAATGTATAGGTAGATTAAGTTATAAATGTATAAGAGTTGTTAAAATTTTAAATGTTCTTGCTTATTATATACACTTGTTGGACTCCAAAAGAAATGACCCCTCTTCCTTTAAGAGTCATTATCTTCTAAGCATCTATAGAAGACCCAATGCTAGAAAACACGAAGAATAAATGAGCAACCACTTTTATGAAGTTTTACATTATTCTACAGGTGTAAAAATCTAAGATTGTTATTGGTAGGGCTTGGCCACCTTTCTTTTCATGAAAACCTTATTTGTACTTATAGTGGTATTTACCACTTTCTTTATATATTGCTTCATTCGTACATATTCATTCATGCATGATTTATAGATGAGTTGCAATTAGGAATTGAATAATTTTCTTAATTTTTTGCTGAGGTATGTGTCCTTGCCTAAACCCATGCAATAGACTAGACTCTCAGTATGTATAAGTTTATACCACTACCCCAACACCTATACATATTCATGTATACATGCAATTATATTTATTTTCCTACAATGCACACAAAGCAACACACACAAGCCGATAGCAAGCAAGGGGACGCCTAAGTGATATGACTAAGTCTAATATTCCCTATGGGTTTAAGGCCGTTATGCTATCAAATTTTTCTTAAAAAGCTAGTCACATAATTTGCATTAGTAGCATTGTAAAAGTTTTATAGTCTAAGGAAAAATCATTTCAAATTGCATTAGTTAGGTAAATTTGAATTATGGACATCTTTCAAATCCTGACCAAAGTTTAAAACTAAATTCTTGATTCCTGAGATAAATAATAGTTATCTACCTTGCATACATAAGACCTGAAAATCTTGGTTTTAAAAATACGCATAGGTGATTGGTTGTTTTTTCATTTTAGGTAGATGTGATTCCAAATTTTACGTCACAATTCTTTCATTTCATTCTAGGAGGATTTTCCTAATATTCTATTAAATTGTCAACATAAATCTAAATTCAACCCTACTCTAAATTGGCAAATCCAAACCATATTGTAGGTTAGATTGTTTCATAGATTTTTTTCTATAATATTAAACACTCTCTGCCTTTATTCTTGTGAATTCCAAAAATAAGTTTTCACACATTGATCCTTCCCTATTGTTATAATTCGATCTTGATTCGATTATTATCTACAATCATTACAAATCTAAAGAGGTTTACACACCACATTAATTGAGAATTTTCTCAAGATTTATCTTAAGATGTAATTAACTAAAGAAACTTGCCTCTCTAGGGAACCAAGAACCCAATAAAAAAAATCATATTTTAGTTTGCTACAGTAAGGAAAAAATTTCTTAATGTAGATTAAAATTTATTCTTGGTTAGTTTTATTTTTAAAATGATAAGTGAATATCATTTTATTTTTCAAGCTGAATAGTATATTCTCGATCAATGCTATGTTTGACTATGAAGTAAAATTCTATTTCTATTATTAAATTGATAGTCAATCATAGGTCTATCTTTCAAAATAATATGTTGTTAAATAAATAGATTTGATTATAGAAAAATAAAGCAAAATAACTAGCAAAATTTATTTTGTTCACAGGGAGTAGCCTTATATTTTTTGAGTTAACCCTAAGCTGAGATTTCTCTGATCCAAAAATTAAGTTAGTTCACAATTTTCAAATTCTATTGACTTCTTGGGTCTTTAATATTGAATTAGCTTTAACTCATCAACTTTGTAGTTTGGGCTCAGTTGGCTCTAAACTTGAAAGCAGGTTCATTAAAACTTTAGTCTCTGCTTCTCTTGGTAATACAAATTAGCAGGTAAAATATTTACGATGATTTATGATGATAATATATAAAGAAGTAGGAATAAAAAAGTTCTCAAAGTTGAACAAGCGTATCCTATTTATAATTTGGAATTTGTTGAACTTTTTTTTAGGATCCAACTTTTGTTAAACCTGTTAGATTATTGTATTGGTAAAATATTAACTATATTTTGTGATACTTGACATGAACTGGAATGATCTTACGAGTGTTTTTTAAGATCCTCCTAAGAAGTAAGAGATTTTATCTAAACTAGATAATGGATGATGTGAAGGGACTTTCAAAAACATCCAAAACCCATTAATAGGTACACTTATCACTACAGGAAAATCATTCATTTCCGGCGGCAATTTCCGGCGGAAATTGAGCATTTTCTGGCGGTTTTGTTATTTAGCGGCGGTTTAAATGCCGCCGGAAAAAACCGCGTAGGAAAATAAATTCCGGCGGTTTTTTCCGGCGGCATTTTATTCCGGCAGTTAGCCGGCGGTCTTAAACCGCCGGTCAAATTAAAAAAAAAAAAAAACCCGTGGTTAATGGCTCACCGCTTCCGCGTCCCGGAGCCGGCCAACTCCAGCTTCCGGCGCTGCCGGCGGGCATAACGTGTATAAACTTATACATAATGTATATAATGCTTATACATAGTATGTATAAACTTTTACATAACTTGTTCAATATTTATATAAACTTATACTGAGTGTGTATAATATTTATACATAGCATGTATAATTCTTATACATAGCATGTATAAACTTATACATAATGTGTAAAAATTATTTATATATCGTTTGTAAACTTATACATAGTATGTATATGAATTATACATAGCATGTATAAACTTGCACATAGTGTGTTAAAATTCTGTATATAGCTTGTATAAACTTATACAATGTGTGTATAATCCTAATATATAGCATGTATAAACTTGTACATAATATGCATAAACTTATCTATAGTTTGTATAATCATTATACTTAGCATGTATAAACTTATACATAGTTTGTATAATCTTTATACATAGCGTGTGTATAATGTTTGAATAAACTTGTATGTAGTGTGTATAATGCTTATAAATTTATACATAGTGTCCATAATATTTGTACATACCATGTACAAACTTGTACATAGTTTTTATAATGGTTATATATAGTGTTTATAAACATATATATAGTGCGTATAATACGTGTACATAATATGTATAAACTTATTTATAATGTGTATAAACTTATATATTGCGTGTATAAACTTATACATAGTGTGTATAAAACTTGTATATAGCATATACAAACTTGTACATAATGTGAAAAATGCTTGTACAAAGCGTGTATAAACATGTATAATTCATGTATAATTCTTGTTTATAGCATGTATAAACTTGTACATGGTGTGCATAATACTTATTTATAGTGTATAAAATGCATGTACATATCGTGTATAAGCTTGTACATAGTGTGTATAATACTGTTATATTACATGTAAAACTTATACATAATATATATAAAACTTGTACATAACGTTTATAATACTTATACATTGTGTGTAAAAACTTATACATAATATGTATTATGATTGTATATAACGTGTATAAACTTATACATAGTGTGTATATTATTTATAGATAGCATGTATAAACTTCTATATAGTATGCAAAATGTTTGTATAAACTTATACAAAGTGTGTATAATACATTTATATGGTAGGTATAATTCTTATATATAGCATGTATAATGCTTATATATAGCTTGTATAAACTTATACATAGTGTATATATACTTATTTAGATGGTATAATTCTTATGAAT